GTACCAAAAAAAAGAGTGTCATGGCGATTTCAGCAGGGATGTATCCAAGAAAAATAAGAAATTTCAGATTATTTTATATGTAAACATGTGAGAAAAAGTGATAGACCTGTATCAACAGAATATTAAAGATAATTATGGAAGTAAAAACTCCCAGAAAATACAAAAATATTTCAAAAAAATTAATTAAATCATACAAAAAGAAAAACGATATTGTAGTACTCGATGTTTACATAACCGTAATAACATAAATATTGATTTCTATAAAGTAAAAATCTGGTAGTAGGATATTGGGAGAAGAGTAGATCTGAGTGATGTAAATTCTACGTCACATAAGAAAAATAGAAAAGATTTGGTATTAATAATTCCAAAATTGCAATGTCTACATATTTCACAAATAAGACTAAGAACAAAGGTTTAGTAGTTTAAATAACAACATACTCAAAATGATCAAAAGCAGAGTACAAAAGGATAAAACAAGAAACTAATGCTTTGCATAAAATTATATGAATCATAATTTAAATATATATTTTTATAAATATAAAACAGAATCATATATCTATGCTCTGGACTTAGAGATACAACTTCTTTTTTTTTCTTTTTTTGGTACTGGGGATTGAACTCGGGTCCTTGCACTTGCAAGGCAGGCAGCAGAACCACTGAGCTAAATCCCCAGCCCAAAACAACTTCTAATTTACTCAAAGAAAATAAAATAATATCAAAATTATTTATTGACATCTTAATCTAGAGCAATAAGAAAACAGTTAAACAAATGTTAGCATACCCACAGGATGAATTAGAGAGCAATAAAAATATATTTAGTTTGATCTTTACAAGGTGTTATTAAAATAGAAAATTCAAATAAAAGTTTTAAAAAAAATTCTTATGTATTGACAACTGGCCAATAATTGTCTGTAGCTCTACGTCTACATACATAGTTAAAAGACAGGATTATATTAGAGCATAGAAAATAGATACTAAGCAATTTGTTATTAACAAGATTAGAAAGTGTTGATGATGCTGGAAGAGGGTGGAAAATGTAGTGAAGTGCCAGTGAAAGGAAAGATTAAAGGCAAACACAAAAACATACGTTAATTTAGAGTACTAGGTGCATGTTTTTATTAAAATTAATATGACAAACTCATTTAAAATATTTAGGGAATGAATAATTAATCTATGATGAGAACTGTAAAAAGTTACATATAAAGTTCAATGTGATCGCTGTTTTATATAAAGGTTATTGTAAATATTAAATCAATATTTTATTTGTGATTATTTCTGAGTGTTGCATCTGCAGGATTTATAGGAGATAATTTAAAATTTATTGTTTGAGATTATTCTAATTTTTAATTTTTCTAGGAAATTAGTAACAATGTAAAAATTTAGAGATCCTTTTATTAAGAAACAAGTACAAAAACAAAAACTGTCTTCATTTTCCAATGGGTTTACAGTGGACATGTGTTATGTGTTCTGAAAGTGAGCATCTCAGAAAAATATTTTTCTCTTGTCTAAAATCCCAATTGTCAATACCCATGACTGATTTATCACTTAGCTTAGTTCAAAAATCTAAATATTGATATTTTCTCACTGTTATTTTTTGACAAAGTATTTGAAGTCAATATTCTAAGAAATCTCAAAGTTGTTCATCTACATTGTAAATCTTGTGAGAAAAGAATTTACATTAGGGAACATGTTTACTCTTCAGACCCCTTTGCTTTTAAGATCATGTTTAGAAGAAGCATATATACACATGACTTTAATAGCTCAAAAAGTATTTATTTCTACTACTACCATAATCACAAAATATAATAATATTTAACATACACATCCCAACACATGAGTATTATTCATTATATACACTGTACTTGTAAAATTAAAAGTAGACACTATATGTAGGTTAAAAGTATCATAACCAATAAGTAACCAGAACTATCTGCAGTATATCTTTTACATGATATATATTAAATATAAACATAAGGGTAAATATTAGTCTATTTTACATTTAGTAAATGTGTAAAATAGATACAAGAATTTGAGATGATTAAGAAGGATATTAGTGGCATTGAGAATAATTGGAACACAAAGACAAGAGTAACATGAAAATACAGTTAAATATAAGTAAAACAGAAAGTGAAGAAAAATATATCCTAAGAGGAACAAAATCATCACTTCTAAAGATAGAAATAATATATACTTAGCAGTGATCAATAACCCATCCCAGAGAAGGGCATATGGGAAACAGACCTTGGAGAACAGATTCAACTTCAACAGACACAAAACACAGGCCATGGTATTGGAGCATGCTGGAAGATTAGAGTCGTGCACTTTGTGTGGACAGTTGGGTGATTCTAAGTCAGGTCTAAAGTGGGACTAAATTTTAAATCATTATGAAGTTCAGAAAGAAAAGCTTGCACTTAAGTCATTAAGTACAGAGCATTAGACCGGGCATTTCTTTCTTTTATTCGATGTCATTTTTTGAGAATCTATTTTGATTTAGGATGAATATTAAGGATACAAAAATAAGTCAAATGAGGCATCATCTCTTCCCTAATGATGCTTATAAACTAATGGAGAATACTGACACTAATTAGTTATCCAACAATATAAAATTACACCACTGATATAAACTAAGAGATTGAATTACCAGGAAGAATTAATTTCCCAAAGCTATGCTGTTCGGAGAAACCTTCTCTGACAAAGCAACACTAGAGATTTTCCTTCCTCACTTCATTATCCCCTTTCCATCTCTGGGATGATGAAGTAGGGACAAAAACATTCCAAGTAGGAGGAAGAGAAGGCACTAAGATCTGGAAGAAAGAAAATACAAATAACCCCTCTCCTTGTGGTGTGAATAATTGAGGTCATTCAGAAAGAAATAATACTAGAAAGATAACACAGGCCAGATCTTCCTAACCTGAAAAGGATTTTCATTTTATTGAAGGGAGACATGACACCCAAAGAATTTGGGAGTCACTGGAAGGAAACTGTCCAAGACAAGACAGTGCTCATCTAAGTAGCAAACTAGTCTCAGGTACCTGTTCAATATGTCTCCATTCAATAGTACTGCCACCTCCAACTGTGATCAGAGCCTTAAGCTGGGAAGACGGATGGACTCGGTGTGTAGAATACAAGGAATAGAGAGACACACAAGAGTAGAAGGCTGATGACAATGACACCCAAAAACCCAGGTAAGAAGTAAAATGCCCTGCACCCTTCAATTTTACTCAGTACAATTCATACACCTTCAAATTCAGTGATATATGATTTTGAACTACGAGAGACAAATTTGAAACATAGCTCTTCCATATCGGTGAAGAGCAAACTGCCATGTCTCTGTGGGACAGCATTCACATTTGTTAAACATGACACATCTTTATTTTAGGATTTTCTAGGAATTCATCTTATAAATGCTAATAAACATAAAATAATACATTTATATATTGCACATTTATGTTACATTAATATATATTTACACATTGTATAATACACTATAACTCAGATTGCATATGTATTTATCCTTGTGCATAAAGATTTGTGGGATATGAAATTTATTACAGTATTAGTCATAATTGCAAAAGTCCGTAATCTCACTTTAATGTCAATCAACAAGAAGACAGTTAGATAAATTATAGTACATATATAAAATGAAATTCTGCATGGCTATTAAAAAGATTGACTAGATCTAAAGGTAGTGATATTCAGTATACTCTGTGATAAAATGCTAAGAAAAGAAAAGCAAGGTCCAGGTATGTCTGTAATCCCAGCTACTCAGGAGGCTGAGGCAGGAAGATTGCAAGTTTAAGACACAGTCTGTGCAATAAAGTGAGATTCTGTTTGAAAAAATAAAATGAAAAGCACTGGAAATGAAGCAAAGTTGTAGAATGTCCCTGGGTTTCATCCCCGATACTGCCAAAAAAAAAAAAAAAGACTAGCAACAAGGTGATACATCTATGTCTATATCTAATCTATA